CGCAACCGCAGCCGCAGCAGCCGCTGCGGCAGCAGCAGCCACCGAAGCAGCAGCCGCCCCAGCAGCAGCCGCCCCAGCAGCCGCCATCGCCGCAGAAGCCGCAGCAGCAGCCGCCGCCGCAGCAGCAGCCGCCGCCGCAGGAGCTACCGCCGCCGCAGCAGCAGCCACGTAAGCAGCAACCGCAGCAGCAACCGCAGCAGCAACCTCAGCGGCAGCCGCAGCAGCAGCCTCCAATGCCGCCGCCCGCTCCTACTTCAATCACCCCTAAGACTGCCTCCATGAGCAGCCGCAGCAGCCGCAGCAGTCGCAGCAGCCGCAGCAGCTGCAGCAGCAGCAGCAGCAGCAGAATGAGTAGTACAAGTAGAGGAGAGGAGGGGGGCGAGGACAGCGCCGTAGATATAATGAGTTTGCCTACGGCTCCAACAACACCTCGGAGTGTATATACACTGCAGCGCAGCAAACAGCCACGGCTGCTGCTGCTGCAGCCCCACGTAAATCCGCATCCAGCAACAACGCGCATGCAGAGGGAGGCACGCCGCTGCATGCTGCGCTGCATGCAGCTGCAGCAAGCCATCGATTTATATGCAGCTAGCGGCGGCATTGCTGCCTTTAAAGTAATGCCGCATGATACAGAAAACTGCAGCAGCTGCAGATTCGCAGACTTCACTGATGCGCCCCTACTCTGGTAGTTGCTGCTGCTGCTGCTGCCGCTGCTGCTGCTGCTGCTCGTCCTGCTGATGCTGATGCTGATGCGGATGCGGATGCTGCGGCAGCAGCAGCTGGCTCTGTATGTGCTACTCTTATTTCTGTCGCTGCTGCTGCAGCAGCAGCAGCGACAGCAGGTATGGGGCGTTTCTCTTGTCACGTAGGGTTTAGGGTTTACTCAAACCCTAAACCCTAAACCCTAAACCCTTAACCTTTTCGCGGGGATAGATGCACACCAAATAGACACTGGGAGGAAAACAAGTCTTAGGCCGCAACGAGCGCTGCAGCTGCTGCAGCAACAGCCCAATGCTACAGCTGCTGCAGCAACAGGTAATGCTGCAGCTGCTGCAGCAACAGCCCAATGATACAGCTGCTGCAGCAACAGGTAATACTGCAGCTGCTGCTACAGCTGTTGAGAAAAAAACAGGCGGTGTATGCCGTTGCTGCTGCTGTTTGAATGCTATACTAGTGGTGCAGAAGCAGCAGCGGCAGCAGAAGCAGCAGCAGCTTGCTGCTGCTGCTCTTGCTGCTGTAGAGCTGCAGCGGCAGCAGCATCGCAGCTTAAGGTTAGGACACTACAGCCACAGTTTTGACAGCAGCAGACATATCTGCTGCTGCTGCTGCTGCTGCTACTGGTAAGCAGTCTGTGTAGAGTGCTCCCAACAGAATCCCCTTCAGGGGACCGCCTCCGCAGCAGTTGCCCCCGCTGCTGCTGCTGCTGCTGCTGCTGCTGCTGCTGTTTCGTTGTGGCTATGGTCCAGAGCTTCGAAGCTGCTGCTGTAGCTGATCTCGCTGCTGTTGTGCCTGCTGCTGTTGCTGCTGCTGCTGCTGCTGCTGCTGTGAAGTGCTGCTGCCGCATCCTCCAAAGAGTCCAGGTGTAGCTGAGAACACACACCACAAAAAGGGCGAAGTATCGTGCAGCAGCAGCAGCAGCTGCTGCTGCTGCTGTTGCTGCTGCTGCTGTTGCTGCTGCTGCTGCTGCTGCTGTTGCTGCTGCTGCTGTTGCTGCTGCTGCTGCTATTCTATTACCTGTATATCCACTGGCTCCTCTGGGGCTGCAGACCACAGAGAATAGAAATTTGCTTGCACCAGCTGCTGCTGCTGCTGTTGCGGCTGTTGCTGTTCTTGTTGCTGCTGCTGCTGCTGTTGCTGTTCTTGCTGCTGCTGCTGCCGTTCGTGCAGCTTCCGCTGCTGTTCCTGCAGCAGCTGCTGCTGCTGCTGCTGCAGCTCGTGTGGATTTGGCTGGAGGGCCTCCGATGCAGGGGCAGCCAGCTGCCTGCCGCTGTCTCCTGCTGCTGCTGCTGGTGCTGCTGCTTTTGCTTCTGCTGCTGTTGTGGGGCTTGGTGTGTCTGCAGATGCTGCTTCTGTTTCAGTGTTGCATGCTGCTCCCCCGGCTGCATTTGCTGCTGCTGCTGCTGCTTCAGCATCAGTTTGGGTGGGCTGCTGCAGCAAAGTGTATCTGCAGCGTCCAGCCATCTGCTGCAGCAAATTGCGCTGCTGCTCCTGCTGCTGCAGCAGCAGCAACCGCCTTTGGGCCTCTGCTGCCTGCTGCTGCCTTGCAGCCTGCATCAGCTCTTCGAGTTCCTTGTTCATGATTGCTATTAATGCTTGACGGTCGCTGCTGCAGCTGTTGCTGCTGTCGTTGTTGTTGTTGTTGCTGTTGCTGTTGCTGTTGTTGCTGTTGCTGCTGCTGCTGCTGCTGCCAAGGCTCTGGCTGTGCGAGAGACGCAAAGACACCGGCACGCTGCTGCTGCTGAACTGAGACTTGTATCGGCTCGATTTGTCTGACAGCTGCAGCAGCAGCAGCACAAACATCACCGCCAAAAGCAAACAAATGCAGCAGCAGCAGCAGCAGCAGCACAGCAGCAGAGTAAGCAGAAGCAACAGCACCAAATCCAGTAGCAGCAGCAGGAGCCGGAGCAACAACGCCAGCAACAACACATATACCAGCAACAGCAGCAGAAGATACAGCAACAGCAGCAGCAGCAACAGCAGCAGCAGCAACAGCAGCAGCAGCAACAGCAGCAGCAGCAGCAGCAGCAGCAGCAAATGCACCTTGAGTTGTGTCTGTAGCTCCTCTCTCTTTTTCTTTTCTCTCTCTGCTGCCTTCTCAGCCTCCCGTCGCCGCCGCTGCTCGCACTCTGTCTCGCCCAGGAGCCGCTGGATCTCCTCTCCCTTCAAACAAACCCTAAACCCTAAACCCTAAACCCTAAACCCTAAACCCTAAACCCTAAACCCCGAGTCCTAACATGTGAACCCTAAACCCTAATACCCATTAACCCTATGCCCTAAACCACAAATTCTCAACGCCCAACACTACAGCCTCTATGCAAACAAACCCTAAACCCTAAACCCTAAACCCTAAACCCTAAGCCCGTACCTGCGCTATACAGAGAAGGTGCTGTTGATCAAGTTCCTTCGCCAGCCTCTCGAGCTGTCGCTCTCGTACTGCCAGCACCTCGCTCTCCTCATCAGCAGCAGCAGCAGTTGCTGCTGCTGCTGCCGGCAGCTCGCTGCTGCTGCTGCTGCTGCTGCCGTCGCCTTCTGGATGGTTCTCCGTCTGCTGCAGCTCTGCTGCTTCTTTTTGTAGCTTTGCCATAGCAGCTGCTGCTGCAGCTGCAGCAGCAGCTGCGGGCTTTGCTGACTCCTCTGCTGCTTCCTGTTCCGCTGCTGCTGCTGCTGTTGCTGCTGCTGCTGCGGCTGCTGCTGCGTGCTCTTTTATAAGGGCCGTCAGCTGCTGCTGCACATCTGACTTCTTTTGCAGGGCCGCGCGGAGGTTTCTTATCTCAGTATCTTGCTGCTGCTTCTGCTGCAGCAGCATCTGCAAGTTTTGCTGCTGCTGCTGGTGTTGCTGCTGCAGTTGTTTCTGTTTGCTGCTAAACTGCTGCAGCTGCTGCAGCAGGAAGAAAGACCTATCAGCAGCAAATGCTGCTGTCCTCTCCGCTGATAGTCGCGCCTCTGCTTCTGCTGTCGCCCGCAGCTCCAGCGAGGCCACGCGGGTCGTATAATACTGCAGCAGCAGCAGCAGCAGCAGCAGCAGCAGCAGCAGCAGCAGCAGCAGCAGCAGCAAAGTGATTGATATGGTAGCAGCAACAGCAGCAGAACACATTATAAATGCTAAACCATAAACCCTAAACCCTACAAAATAAATGTTAGATACGGCTCACTTGCTTGAGAAGTAGTACGAGATCCCGCAGCTGTTGCAGCTTTTGCTGCTTTTGCTGCTGCTGCTGCTGCTGCTGCTGCATTGCGTGAAGCAAGGGGGGCGAACCCCCTCGAATGCAAGCAGCGGCAGCAGCAGCAGAAAGATCTGAGGCTGGTGCTGCAGGTGCAGATGAAGATCCCCGAGGCACCCAGCTGAAGTCTGTTGGTGTCTTTGCTGCTGCTGCTGCTGCTGTTGCTGCTGCTGTTGCTGTTGCTTCTGCTGCTTCTTCTGCTGCCTTGTCGTCCAGCAACCGGAACACGTCACTGGGGGACTTGAAGAGTTTGCAGCTATTGCTGCTGCTGCTGCTGCTGCTGCTGTTGCTGCTGCTGCTGTTGCTGCTGCTGCTGCTCGCAATGCTGCTTCGGGTACTGTTGGGAATGTTGCTGTTGACGCTGCTGCTTCTGCTGTCACTTCTACTGCTGCTGCTGTCACTTCTGCTGCTGCTGCTAATGCTGCTGCTGCTGAGGCTGTTGTTGCGGAGGCTGCTGCTGCTGCTGCTGCTGCTGCTGCTGCTGCTGCTTTCGGCTAGAGGGGGTGTCTCAGGAGACATCATTGGCCTCCATCAGAAGCTAGAAGCCCCTCCTAGAACGCGCTGCTGCCGCTGGTGCTGCTGGTATTGCAGCTGCTGCTATTGCAGCTGTTGCTGCTGCTGCTCTCAGCGCTGCTGTGAGTACAGCTGCAGGGCAGCACAGTATGTATCGCAGCAAACCCTCAACCTTTAACTATTTGTTGTATCTATCCCTCACGGGTAGGCAAACATTTCTGTCTCTAAAGAATACAGTGTATGAATTAGGGTTTAGGGTTTAGGGTTTAGGGTTTAGGGTTGGGTGGGTCTCAGCGGACTCCGCAACTGTCGATATTGTGTGCGCCGCAGGTTTTGAATTTGATTAAATTAACAATAAAAATAAACAGCAAAAATAAATAATAAAAATAAGCATGGAGGCAGCAGCAGAAGACACTCCAGCCTACCGTCTGTAGGGGCCCCTAGGGGCCCCCCTAAGGCGAAGTGTCTGCTCCTTAAACCCTAAGCCCTAAACCCTAAACCCTAAACCCTTGTTTTAATTGTTTTGTTTCTATGATTTCAGGCATTTTTCTATAGAGAAGGCATCCAGTGTATGCTGAGGTGGCTATACACCGCAGCGAGCCGTGGACCATCCCTATTGTTCTTCATTTGCATGTCAATATATTTTTAATTTATTATACGCTTGTCTTTATGCATGTCTCAACTAAAAGCTGCAGCCCCAGACCTTCCCCTTCTAAACCCTAAACCCTAAACCCTAAACCCTCTCTTGTGGTGACCACGACAGTCTTGAAGGAGTGTAGAAGGAGAAAATATCTTCAAACGAAGCTGCTGCAAGAGGCCTTCAGACTTATTTAAGCTGGCGGTGTCTGCAAAGAAGAACGGGGTGTAGTATAGTGCTGGGTCAAGGCTAATGCATGCAGATAATAATAATAATGAAGCAGACAAGGAAGTGAATGCAGCAAGGCAGCCTAACAATATGTCTTTTAAATGTAGTTTAAAGGCTTAAAGGGACTGACTAATAATATATTGAATGATATATATATATATATATGTATATCCATTAGCAACAGAAACTTCAGGGAGAGGGTTTACATTTACTTTGTTTAAAGAGATATAATGATATTTATTTACTATTATTAGTTAACAATAAAAATAATAGTAATAATAATAAACTCCTTGTATTATCTTCAACTCCCTCCACTCCCTGCACTGTAAGAATAAAACATAGGCTTGCAGCTGGTAAATAAACAAATGATTATCGATTGATTATTGTGTTTGTTCATTTATAATAAATAAGAAAAGAAAGCAGCACTCTTACCCCGTCTAACAAGAAGAGTGCTGCAAGACATTATACACCATCGTATTTCTACAGGAGCTCCAAGTGCTATGAATACAAAAGAGCAAGCATACTCTTTTATATATACTATATATATACAGATATATATATGTATTAATATTAATATTTTGATGCTATTGCAGCCTCTAATGGTGCTCAGCTAAGGCTGAAGATGCTCATTACACCTGGCAGACCCTTTCTCTCAGTGGCAGCACATCCCATTCGTTTGAATCCGAGGAGGAGGGGAGTAAGTGCAATTGAAAAAGAAATGTTTAAATGGTTTAAATGACGAAGAGCGAGGCTAACGGATGAAAGGGTTTGCAAATACACCATAAAGCCAGCCTTCATCAGGGCTCTCAGTGCATAGCTCAAGGTAAACTACAGGAGCTACAGAGACGCAAACGACCCTTTATTATAAAAAGAGAAAAGGGAAGGCGGCGCCAGGCTAAAGAAAACTGCTAAGCGAAGGCAGAGCTTTTATCCTTCAACTAGCTCATGCAGACACACACCCGTGATAAAGGAAGAAGTGCTGCGTGGCAGCCTGACATGAGCTACGATACACCTCGTTCTAACTAAATGCTGCAGGGCACCTTCAGATGCAAACATAACGAAACCCTCTTTTTTTAGCACTGTAGACAACCGTTGTAATTCTGCTTGAAAACAAGCTGCCTAATAATGCCAAGCAAGTGGTAATGCACAAACTGCGGAGACGCTATGCACCAGTTACAGCTCTTCTTGTTGCAACTCCTGCAGTCCCATGATGCAACTATAACTTAGCCCCCTTACAATGCATGCGCCAATATTGCTGGAAATGGCTACACACGCACTTCTCCTTTAGTATCCAACTTGTACGCAAGCAGAAATGCAACAACTTTTAACGGACAGACACTATGCTATTCAGGCACAGTCTACCGCAAGCGCGTGTCGGCAGCCGTGACAGTACTGCCGAGAAGTAGAATAGGGAAGGAGCTCTAGAAGAACCCCTTAAATAAGAACACGATATTAACTAGAGGCATGAAAGAGATTAACTAATTAAGTGCATGTTTGAAGGAATGCTTCACAATACAATTTCGTACTAGCACAACAATGGCTCTGCAGGGTTGGGGCTGGCGGTCAAGCTGTAACGCATAGGTAGAAAATCAGCAATTCTACTGATCTTGGGTATGCCCAGGAGTTCTAAATAGTAAATATTGTTTTTTTGCAAGATGTTTCCAGCAAATCGTGGGTTATAGCTATTGTTTGCAGCTACATCACGGCACTCGGCTAGGTTTCCGCGCCACAGACAACGCTGCCGAGCCCAGCTGTACATACACCCGAGCCTGCGAGCTGATCGGTGACGCCTCACTTATTTTTTTGTTGGTATTTCCGACGCTTTCCGCTTCCTCCTTACGTCAACAATGACGCCTTCTTCACGTCTTCGTATTCTCTGGTACACCTCGAATATATTCGCCGTATTCCCTTCTTCATTGTCTTCTGCTTAAATGGCTGCGTTTTCCCCTAACCTGCATTGTTCAGAGGAGTTGGTCGTTTCTTAGCTTTGTCAAGCCTGCAGCTTCCCCAGGTGTTCCTTGTTTCGCACTAAGTATACACGCCAGCAACTAACGGCGGCCGCATTCCATATCTGTGGCGGCTAATCCTTCAATTAATTGTTGAATAAATCATTCGTTTCCCCTCTTTTGCAGCACTGGAGGCCTTGGGTATATCGGCAGCCATACCGTGGTTCAGCTCATCGAGGCGGGCTATGATGTCCTCGTAGCCGACAACTTCTCCAATGCATCTCCTCTAGTGGAAGACCGAATTAGACAAATCACAAAAGCTACGGCCAGCCAGCTGCGCGTTGTTGAGGCAAGCCAAACAATAGAATGGTGCCCATTCAAGTTTTTAAAGGCTGGTTTGTGCTAATAGTTTTTTTTTCTTTGAGCTAACTAACTACTTGCCTGCGATTTGCCTTTTCTTTGCGTGTGTTTTGCCTGTCCCTTGCTGCTTCAGTTGGATCTGAAAGACAAGCAGAAAACGCTTCAGCTGTTCAAGGAGGAGCGGATTGATGCAGTGATTCATTATGCTGGTCTGTAGAGTTTAAAAGCGGGTGCTGCCCCTGCTGTGCTGCACGCGTTGACTGTCCTGTGGAACTTCCTCACAAAGTATCCTTTTTCTCTGTCTTTCCTCTCTTTCCGTGCAGCTCTAAAGGCCGTTGGTGAGTCGGTGCAGAAGCCCCTGAGCTATTATGAGAACAACGTCGGCGGCACATGCAATCTTTTAGAGGCAAGCCGGTCCTTCCTTGTTTTTCTAATCATGCTTAAGTTTCTCTTGCTCTCTACACGTAACACAGTTCCGTGTGTGGGTAAAATTCCAGTAATTATTGTATTTTATGATGCTAAAGATATAATTTTAAATTAAAAAACTCCTTCTTCATCTTACATTTTTCAAGAAAATAAGTTTTTGTGTATTAATAATATTGAATAGACCCCTCACATAACAGTGTCTTCTCTTATTCAACATGGTGCACACTGAGACAAATACACCTTTGCTAAGCCTGTGTGCTAAAGCGCAGGCAATGACCGTCAGCGGCGTGAAGTGTTTCGTCTTCTCCTCCTCTGCGACGGTATACGCCCCTAAACCGGAGTCAAAGATAAATGAAACCGACCCTCTGGGGCCCTCCAACCCTTACGGCCAAACCAAACTTATGATTGAGCAGATCCTTAAGGTGACTGCAACATTCATTAGAATCTACACCCCTACAACTCCCACTAACCTCTCCAAAATGCTGCACCAAGAGCATGCTGCTGCCGAGAAACCTCACATAGTAGGCCAAGGCTGCTTGTCTTTCTTCTTCTGCTGAGCAGGATGTTTACATCGCCGACAACAGCTGGAAGATATCCATCCTCCGGTATTTCAACCCCGTGGGCGCGCACCCCAGCGGCCTTATTGGCGAGTCGCCTGATCAACCCAATAATCTGCTGCCAGTGATTCAGCACGTCGCTGTGGGGAGAAAGAAGTGCCTCCAAGTTTACGGAAATGACTGGGAAACCCCAGACGGAACGGGTACGGGCGCTTCACACCCCAGGCCGCGCACGGGGCCCAGCAGACAATTCACACAGGTAGACAGCGTGTGCTTCTTCTGCCGCTCTGAAAAACAGGGGTGAAGACATGTGCACTAAAATGCTAATTGCACTTCATTAGCATTTGAAATGTGTGGCGTGGAGTGTGTCTCCAGGCGTTCGCGATTATTTGCACGTAGATGACTTGGCTTCCGGCCATCTCGCTGCGCTCAAAAAACTGCTTGACGCTCCAGGAGGGACTCTTCTCATACACAACTTGGGGACAGGTACAACGTAAAACCACCCATTCCTGCAATGCGCCCTATATATGTATATATATATATATATACGTATATATATGAACATATATATATGTATATGTATATTGATGTGCATACACGCATGTATGCACATGCAAATGCACATACATGTATAAATATCTTATGTAACATCCACATGAATCGTGTTGAGCGCATCGTGACACTGACGGTTGTTGATGGCAGGCCGTGGGTATTCTGTGTTGGAGTTGAAGAGAGTGTTTGAAGAGGTGTCTGGACAGCCCATCCCGCACGAAGTGGTCGGGCGGTAAGCCATTAACAACAAAGTTTTTGAAGTACACAGCGAGGGCCCTTTTACTTTCTTCCACGAAACCCTTCCCTTACCGTGCAAGCGCATAGCTCAGCTGCAGCACCCAAATAAGATATATTTATTATGTAATTGCTTATTTTAGCATAGATGACGTCCTGGGGCTGCTGGTTTGTTGGGTGTTTTTCTTTGGTTTGCGCACAGACGGCCCGGCGACTTGGCGTGTGTTGTGGCGGATCCGACTTTGGCTGAAAACGACTTCAATTGGAAGGCAACGCGCACCATCGAGTCTGCAGCTGTTCTGCCTTCCATTCTATTATTAGTGTTATTATTTATGCAGTTCACTCCCTCCCCGATATGTGCTGAGGCTTACCTCTGCTTTGTAGGCGGCAGGAGCTCGTGTGAAGGGGAAAAGCGTTTGTTATTGTGCTGTTGCTGCGTTTTGCAGGGAGGCGTGTCGGTCTGCTTGGCGGTGGCAGTCTAGTAATCCACAAGGTTATGCATGACGTTGCAGCCTTTCAGCTCGTGAATGCCCTCTAGACGATTATCGCTGCTTTGCCGCCTCTATTCATTTGCCCGCGGCAGCAGGTCTCATAGAAAGTTGGAAGGCGACAGGGCAGGGCGCTCACTACGCAACCCTCTCCCTGTAATGCACCAACATTAGACCATAAGACGCGTCGCAGACCACCTGGCGACAGCGCGTATTGAATAGAGACAGTGGAATAGAAACCCATATATATATATATATATGGCTGCAGCGGTGAAATGCTTGAGAGAAGCTGCATATCTCTTTTTTTGGGGGGGTGGAGTTATGACTTGTGAAGGGCGTGAAGACACGCCTCCGACTTGCCCCCTAAAATTCGCCAAGTGCTGGCGACTGCATTTCCTAGTTAAAACCTTTTGCTGTTCATTTACTGGTTTCCGCTTGGAAATGCTCTGTACTGAGGACCAGCAAAGAAGGTAGCCCGCGATCTAACGGGAATTCAGGGCGCATGCACAGGACACTATAGAACTGCATACAATCAGAATGATACAGCCCTACGCCGTAACCAAACGGAAACCGTTCCGCTTAGTAAGCTGACGAACTACCGAGTGAGCTAATGCGGAGAAATAGACCCGTCCAGAAAGCACTTGAGCGAAAGTCCAGTTAGCTGAGAGGGGGGCAATGCGAGGAAACCCGTCAAGCAACCGGTGATTATATACATGTGAGCCACTCCCTCTGTTGTACATAAACTTGAACAATAGAAGAAATGAACATACTTGCTTAGTTATCCATGACAACCCATATTCTGGGCGCAGCCTCTGATTGGCGGCAAGCCCACTGTGGGGTGCATTCGCATATGCGTCCAGATTTGTTTGGGGGTTGGAGGATTCTGCAAGTGTCTGCTTTTGTAAAGCAGACTCTTGCTGATACGTGTGCAGAGCGACAGCATTAGTTGCTGGCAAGCCCGGTAAGTGAGGAAAGCGAGGAGATACTTAGATGGGTGGCGCATAATTGACCACCAACCAATTACGGAACTGACACCCGTTCGCTGTTGTGTTCACCGCACCTTGGCCCGCTAAAGCATTACCGAATATTTTGCACGAAGCGCTTCGGTGAAGACGAGTTGGAACATACAGTGGGTGGAGTCTAATTGACCTCACATTTTACACCCACTAATCTTCAGATTCTCCTGCCCTGTATGCTACCCCCAAAGCCCATTCGCAGGCACTATGCCGACGATTATACATGTAGTAAACAGTGCTCTCAGCTGCCACTACTTATCGGTTCCTTGATTACCCATTTGGGCGCACACTCGATATACACACGCTACAGTTAGCGCATAAAACTTCAAATAACCTTTACATGTGAAATGATGGTCTACTATTCCTATACGGGGCCAAACCCTCTTCCAGGAGGAAGTGTAATAACAATTATGATTGCCCGTTGATCCCCTAGTGGTTCAGCGCCTCGGTTGCAGTGCCAACTTCACAGCCAGCCTAAGACCCTAGGTTGCTGCCGGGCACTCTCAGCCTGACGGCCTTATTTCGAGTCTTAGAGTAGTGACTTGATTTATTTCTCATAAGATATTATTTGCACTCTTTCAGCTGGACGGACCTCCAGAGGTCCAATTAGAGTGCCATTGAAGTCCCTGCACTTTACAATACAGGTAGGATGCATCTACTCACCGGAGCTCCAGGTACTTGACCTGCTTCGGAGCCTGTGTTAAGTATGGCTAGCTGCTTCTATTCATTGACGCCTGGTGCTCGTTTGGCCAACAAACCCTTGAGGGTCTGTTGTGAGCTGTATATTCTTCTTGGTTGGACGAAGCAGTTGGCTGATTGCTGCTTGTTTGCTCTCTACGCTCTTCCCACTGAGACAAATAGATATCAAAGAAAACCCAGCGTCTTCTGCAAACGAGCTGCTCAGTGCGAGTTAAGCTTGTCGGTTTCCCACCTGTTTACAAGAGATGCACACAACCATATGCTACTCCCTAGGACACTTCCTAAACTCGTCTTCACTTTGGACGGTCGTGATCAAAAGCGTTCAGCAAAGCATGTAGCCCCCGAGTTGTCGGGTGAATGAGTGCACACGCACGGAACAGTATAGGGCTACAAATTATACCTAAAAGCGCAGCGAGAGTGGAATAGCCTTCTGCCGGAATCGAACCGGCGACCTTCCGCTTACTAAGCGGATGCTCTACCGACTAAGCTAAGGAGGCGAAGGTCACCCGTCCAGACAGCGCTGTCCACAAAGTTCAGTCAACTAGAACCTGGACACACAATGCGGATACCTCTAAATGCTCACCTGCCCCGCGTCCTGCTCCTTCGCTCTGTGTCATTTATGTGAACAGTTCACTTGCGTGTGTGGTACGCGCGCGCACTGCGTTGAAACATCTAGTTTTGACTCCGTTTTCCAGGTCGCTGGGAGTCCCGCTTTGCGTCTTGTGGGGCAGGTGGCCTTCGCCTCCTTAGCTTAGTCGGTAGAGCATCCGCTTAGTAAGCGGAAGGTCGCCGGTTCGATTCCGGCAGAAGGCTTTTCTATGAAAGTTTTCTAACTTAAAGATTACCATCGCCTGGCGCTCGTTAGGCCACCAACCCTTAAGAGGCTGTTGTGAGCTGTTTATGCTTCTTGGTTGGTCGAAGCAATTGGCTGATTGCTGCTTTCTTGCTCTCTACGCTCTTCGCACTGACACGAGCAGAAGCCCAAGAAAAGCCAGCGTTCTTCTGGGAAACGAGCTGCGCAGTGCCAGTTAAGCTTGTCGGCGTCCACCCTGTGTAGCAGATATGCATACAATCAAATGCTGGCCACTAGAACAATTCCTATACTCGTGTCCACGTTGAATAGCCGCGACCAGAGGGGTTCAGCAAAGCGTATAGCCAGCGAGTTGTCTGGGGATTGAGGGCAAACGCACGGCACAGTACAGCGCTACAAATCATACCTAAAACGCCCAGCGAGAATGGAATAGCCTTCTGCCGGAATCGAACCGGCGACCTTCCGCTTACTAAGCGGATGCTCTACCGACTAAGCTAAGGAGGCGAGGGTCACCTCTCCACACTGCAATGTCCACAAAATTCAGTCCAATGAACTCTGGATACGCATTGCGGATCCCCCCAAATACCGCAAGAGAGAATGGAATAGCCTTCTGCCGGAATCGAACCGGCGACCTTCCGCTTACTAAGCGGATGCTCTACCGACTAAGCTAAGGAGGCGAAGGCCACCTCTGCAGACCGCACTGTTCACAAAGTCCAGTCAGCAGGAATCTGGAGATGCAGCGCAGATCACTCTAAATACCCCGGGACAATGGAATAGCCTTCTGCCGGAATCGAACCGGCGACCTTCCGCTTACTAAGCGGATGCTCTACCGACTAAGCTAAGGAGGCGAAGGTCACCCGTCCAGACCGCGCTCTCCACAAAGTTCAGTGAGCTGGGATCTGGGGGCATAATGCTGATCCCTCTAAATGCTCAACTACCCCGTCTCCTGTTCCTTCGCTTCGTGTCATGTATGTGAGTAGTTCACTTGCTCGCCCCTCTGTGAACAGTGTGCGACACACCCGTGCACTGCATTGAACCGTCCAGCTGTTACTCCGTTTTCCAGGTCACTTGGAGTCCCGCTTTGCGTCTTGTGGGACGGGTGACCTCCGCCTCCTTAGCTTAGTCGGTAGAGCATCCGCTTAGTAAGCGGAAGGTCGCCGGTTCGATTCCGGCAGAAGGCTATTCCATTCTCTCTTGCGGTATTTGGGGGGATCCGCAATGCGTATCCAGAGTTCATTGGACTGAATTTTGTGGACATTGCAGTGTGGAGAGGTGACCCTCGCCTCCTTAGCTTAGTCGGTAGAGCATCCGCTT